CAACACGAAAGCTCCGCCAACTCTATTTTGTCTGTTGTACTTTAGCATTTCATGCTTTGGCGCTTCTCAATGAGATTCTTCATTTCCTGGGACAGCTTGCCAGTGTAATGTCTAACTACAGCACCTCCAACTTCTTTTGCACACTCCGTAGTGATATTCGTCAGATTATATTTCGTTGCGCCAATGCTAAGGCTGTTTTTTTCGATAAGAGCCGAGTACCTGTTTTTAAGCGAGATTTCAAATTCCTGTACTTTCCTTCTTAGTGCTAGCTCATTCATTGGCTTCTTGCGTATGAGTTTCTGTCGCTTCTTCTTCAAGTCTAGGCTAATTCTGGACCGTACCATTCTATGGTCACTGCATCGTACCTTGCCAAGCACTTCCACACTCTGAACGATTCCTGGGAGTGCACTCAGTATAAAGTCTATTTCGTTCTTATTTTCGCCATTGGGGCTCTTCCGTGCTCACTTACGGTTTCCTCGCTTTTGGTATAAGGTGTTCAAAATCCGTAAATTATTGCGTTCTGCGAATCCTACTAGTAGCTGCCCTGTGGCATTTCTAGTGCGGATGCCATAATCTCCCACTGCCTGGTCTCCAGCCTGCTTCTTCCCTACTTTTGCATAAAGTCTCCCATCAGTATAGTGTACTGTGTCATTGCTGATTCCAAGTCTTCATAGAAGCTTTCAACTGACGCGTCATCACGGCTGGACGCAGGCGCATAAGCCTGTACCCCCTTCATCTTGTATCTCACCTTGAGGTAATTACGATACCTACCACCCTTTCATTAAAGCAGCCCGTTATTCTTCTTCTAGTTACTTCAGTCTCGTGGTTTGGCTCCGCGGTTATTACCTGTCCTAAGTAGATTCCTCTATGTTGCCAGCTATGTTTCTGTAGATAAGGAACCCCACTCCAATTTTTTTCTGTCAGCCAAGCCCCGATAGCAAAGGACGTGCCCGTTCTGTAGCACTGTATAGTCTCATCTGTGCTTCTAACCTTACTAGGCCCTATTATATCCCATTTAATGCCCTCTAGCTTCTCAAATAGCACAGCCAGACTTGTCTTACTAGATAAGGTTCTAACGTTAAACGTCGCCAAGTTCAGTTGCCAATGGCGGCCTGTCCGGATCCAAAGATTCTTAGCCTCTCTCCTGCATTGCAGATCTGACCGCTGGCATGGTCAGTTTCTTCGCAGCCGCTGGAGACTGAGGGCCTTAAGGTAATTGACTTGTGCATGTGAAAGCTAGTGGCCAGAAACTGCACCAGGATGGTCAATCCTTCTCTGGTGAGGGAGTGCGTTACCGGCAGTGGTCACCGGTTAGGCCACAACCCCAGGCCTCTTGATGCAGTTCTCTCTCGACAAGGACTTTTTTAAAATCTGGTTGGGAGCTGCGAGACACCGGGATTTGAACCACGGACCTCTTGCATGCGAGGCTGATGTTCTAAACACTGCGCCATCACTGCCATGGGTGAAGTACGCTTTACCTAGTTTCCTCCATGCGATAGCTGTCTGCTTTGCTCAAAAAAGTGTTAGCCATTGACTCTATTCACGTGACTGTTGCCCATGCATTTTACGTTAGGCTCATCGATTTGGCATGTGCGGCCGTTTGCGCACGCTCACCAGTGTGCCCTATGTTGCACTGTTTCGTGCTTGTGTTGTGATTCAAAGGCGGTATGAACGAACTTGCTAAGAAACTATACATTGCTGTGTGTCAAACTTGTGGATCTGAATGTATGTCCCTATGGAGCGACCTAGGGACGGTTGGGACTACACCTTGACAAATAAAGAGCCTCTGCGTCAGTAGCCCCGTGATTATCATCGAGTAGTAACTTGACATTTTTTTGGAAGGTAGAAACAGAAAGATAGTTGTCATTTTCAGAGGAGTCGAGGTGGCACTCTCGTGAACCGCGCTTTGATTGGCGTCTGTGATCAAGGCGTTGCCGAATTAGCAATGTTTAAAGAATGTCGCGCCACCTTGCGGAATTCAGGAGCGTCCTCTCAAAAATGATCAGTAGGCAGACGCTCCCAATGCTGTCTTGCTCGGCGGGGCTAGAAGCAGTGTGAACGTGTTTGCGAGAAACGAACACAAACCACTTTGTATGTTTCGTGAATAAGTGAGTATACTGGACTGTCCATGACACGATGAATTGGATTGGTTCTTGTGAGACGTGAAGTTTTCGTGAAAATATGTGGCAACTCGCGCTTTGAATTATAGCCCGCAGAAGATCTATTACGAGTTTTTCTGCAGCCACATTGAAAATTTGAATATTTACGTGTGATTATTCAGCTAAAACTGGCCTTTTTTACGTGCGTATAGCATTTTTCAGTGCTTTTGTAGTGCATGAATCCCTTAACAATAATTGTACGCGGAAAGCAGGGCAGGCTCAAGTTTTGCGCTTTAAAACCCTTGTCTACACTGCTCCGCTTGTTTTTTACGTTCGTTTATAGATGGCAGCACACTGAAAGTGATTCCTTTCTTGCTGAGTATCGGAGCGAAATGATCTCTGCACCACCAGATAAACGTGGTGAGTGACGCCGTGTGGCTGTTGTGCGTGGTGAATGACGCATTGTTGGTGCTATCGCAGTTGTTTGGCGGAGAGAATTTCTCAGATTTCTTTCAGCAGTGATGTTCAAAGAAACCGTCTTGACGTCGAGGATTTTTCACTTGACGTAGATGGTTGTGAACGCGCTGAGAGTGACTTCGACAATGAACGATCAGCTGCTGGCTCAAGAGCAGAGAGTTGCACTAGACGTCCCGTCATGCGTTAATGTTTTTTTACGCTAGTAAGTCACTTGGATTGTATTTATTGTATAATACTCTTCAGTGAGCTCAAAATAAAAGCACACTTTTTTCTTGTGCATTGAATGTATCAAAATTATAGTGGATATTTAGAAAGCACCGCATGCCACCCACACACTAGAGCTCGACCAGCGTAGCGAAATGGTTAGAGCAATGAAATATGCAGTTACGACCACAGTCCCCACTAACTTTTCCTGCACTTCACTGGTGCCATCCGAACGACATTGTTGCTGGACAAATTTTCGCAATTTTGACGATGCAAAAAGCGTGCTTCTGTATTCGTTTGAATATCCTTATTTAAATCACGCTGACGGAACCGGAAACATCCAAATGCAGGGAATAGCGCACTGTTAGAGTCTGATCATGGCTGTGACACAAGTGCTACTTAATTGGAAGTTGAACGCTTGTGTTCCGTTGAAGAGGCAGTGACATAATGCTTACAGCGAAAGTTACGACGGCGTAATGTCTAGAAACCATCGCTACGTTAAACATATGTTCTTATGAAGCCGCGACGGCACGCTATTTGATAGTGGCCTACTACTGTGGCAAATCCGCTAGACAGGCTCGGCCTTAATGTTTCGGATTGCCTTTCAGTTCATACGTGAATTCTGGTTCGGGCAGTTTGTTGTGGCCCGCACAGGATTACACGACACATCGATGATACACGGTCGATCAGCTGACACCAGCACCTTTTGCACTGCGGCGAGAAATGGGGTAGCGAACATACAGCAGTTCCTATTAGATGGGAAAATACTTTGGTTCCACATACATTCCTTTGAAGATCAAGCGCTCGTTCTCGATCAAGCGATCAAGCGCTTGTACACGAGGTGTACGTTCGAGCCATGCGTGCTATATTTTTTATGTGAGCTCACGGGTTGATCATCCTTCCTCAGTCGCCTTGGATTGCACGGCGCGCAACTTATAGCCTGTGGGCATTGCAAATACGCCATACATAATAGGCGCTGTACCGTGTCCTTCTATCGCTCCTGTCCGGGTGTTTCGCGCTGTTAACCACGATGAATGCTCACCAACTAGCCCAGTTTTCCATCTTGCTCAACATAATAGGCGCTAACCGTTCGGCGTCGTTGTGGTGAGTCCGCTCGCTCGTACAGGCACCGGGGTGTAGCGTGGAGCTGCCTACACAGGGCCCCTACCAGCCCCTCGGCTGCCTCCACTTGCTCTCTCTGTGTGTCTCCTTTGTCTTTTGAATGTGTTGCGCTAGTTCATTACTCGAATGTTTGTAGTTTTGAGTTCAAGCGAACATGCGCATCTTGGGTGGCGGTGGACGCGAGGTTCCGTGCTCGAAATGACGCTTGGGTGACGAATATTCTTGAGGTGGCGGATACAAACAGCGTTTGCCTGTTAACGGTCAGTGTACTGCATTTGTAAGCACTAAGCACACAGCTTTAGCTGCGTGCCTGCAGCAACTATGTGGAAGTAGGCTGCTGCAGAGCTGCTGCGTTGGTTTCAACAGTACACTGCATCCGCGAATCTGTTTCAGTTGCTTTATTGTACATAACACTGCTATGCATGTTGTGGTGCAATAATGCAATAACTTGGTAAAGGCGTTTGTTTACTCATTGCACATTGTGTCTGTATGAGGGAAAGCGCTCTATATCGTTTCGAGGTGCGCTTTGGTCTACGTCACAATTATATTTACATTGATATGCGGGTGTGCAGCATGCCTCCACGTGTGGAAACGTAAAAAAAGTTGACTGATTCCTATTTTATGAATCGGTGTAACACGAAGGTAAAGCGTGTTTTCACACAGTTAGTTGAACGTTTATTGTGATTGCTTCGCCACATAGACGAAGGAATGAATGCTACAGAAAGAAGTTGCAATGTGACGTAAAGAACGGCAAGCAGCTCGAAACTTGCAGAGCGGTTTTCAAGCAGAACGTACTCATGAAATGAGCACAAACAGGACGAGCGCGGACAGCTGTCATAACTTGACCCTGCTCAAACAGAAAAAAAGATTTACTAAACGAGCGCGCAAGTATAAGCAAGATAAGCGCGAACAACTTTCACAGTTTTTAATTCATCGTAAAGGTCCCTGTAACTACCGCTAAGCACGTCAGTTTGTTTAAAATATTTATTAATTTTAGCAATTAGCCTCAAGTGACACTGCGACGCACACTTTTCAGCTTGAGCTGGCATAGACATGTTCGTGGGTTTAATAATGAAGTCTGAGTAAAAGCAAGCTTACAAGCATTCGAGGAAGGGTCTGCACAATCCGGCGCTTTGTGGTTCCAAGGACGACGGTGACTTCTATTTCCTTATTCCTGATGCATGTTCATGCAAAAACAAAATATTAGGTCACAATGAGAGTTGCTGTTCAAGTGACATTGTCTCCTGTAACCACGCATACCACACTAAAAAACAAAGAAAACCTTTCTTTAACAGCAGCACATGACTAGGCCGTATAGCAACGCCGTAGCATTGAGATTACATGTTTGAGATTCTTTTTTTAGTAGCTGTATTTCTGTATCAATCGGGATAATTTTGCAAAATATATTTTTGACTCAGTAGTGAAGTACTTTTACGTTGTCTCGATTGTACCACGATACTGTACGGGACGCAAGTATCTCGCTACTTTTTGTCGCATATAAGTGGACCTGCTTCTAAGAAGAGTTCTTTAGGCTACACCAAACAAAAGCACCCCGCTGCTCGCGGAAACAGGTGGCAGGTGACAAAGAACCCTCCACAGGCGCAGAATTACCCATATGGGAAAGCGACGGGTATGTGATGGTAGAACCGCGGAGGTACTCATGCTCTACTGCAGAAAGTCGCGATCTTTGAAGAATGGTGCAGAACCTCCATCGTTTACCGGCTGCAAGTAATTTAATGAGTCTGTGTTGATTTATTTGTGGGTTTTAACGTCCCAAAACCACCATATGATTATGAGAGACGCCGTAGTGGAGGACTCCGGAAATTTTGACCACCTGGGGATCTTTAACGAGCACCCAAATCTGAGCACACGGGCCTACGACATTTCCGCCTCCATCGGAAATGCAGCCGCCGCAGCCGGGATTTGAACCCGCGACCTGCGGGTCAGCAGCCGAGTACCTTAGCCACTAGACCACCGCGGCGGGGCAATGAGTCTGTGTTGAGGCTGGACCAGCGTTGTGTTAAAAAAGCGTCTGAGCAATACAGGTACTGTGCCTAGAAAAAAAAATGTAGTTTTTCATAATTAGGTGGTGTTTGTTTATAATTCGAGCTATGTTCTTGACATGCAGCTATTAAATCTGTAAAACATTGAGCCGCACAATATCCTTTGTTTAAATAATGCCTTTGTGGAATATGAGTGTTCCCTAGATCAAACTACTATTGTAGTATTTGTATTCCCGAGTCTATATCCCGAAATACTTTTTTGACTGTTTTGCAAAAGCAAATCAGAAATATACGTCGTTTCGTCAAAGGCAAATGTTTTTGACCATTTGAGTTTTATTCTTATAGGGAGCGTGTTTTTCGATATCTGTATTCGGGAATACTTTTCTGAGTAGCTCTGCCTAGCCCACCAGCAGAGTGGTTAAGCCTTTTGTTATGCTCTTGCCCTCATAATCGTGAATGACCTCTACTATATTGGCGTGTGTAACCCAATACATCGTCCGGCGCTCTTTATGCTTCGGCTTCGAATATGCGCACAAGGGCGCGCTCTCTGACCTTGCCGTTTTGTACGTCATGGGTGGCAATAACTTGCTCCGGTGTTAATGAGGGGAAAGAAAGAAATAAATGGAAAGAGACCAATTATGAGATGGAAAAAATCTGGAAATATCCCAGGCTCGGAGGAAAGAATATAATGCGAAGCAGACAGCAAAGAGCTGTTCACATTTGTCTTTAAAATATTGAGGGCATTCTTGTGATCACATTTATTTCGAACATGTTTCTCGTGTACGCATAAAAGTACAATCGGGCATACAGCATGTCAGATTGTACATTCGCGTATTGTTTTTATACATTGTAATACCTGTTATTCATTTCATGACATAGCAATTTGTGTGTACCGCTGACGAATAGAACCGAAGCATATCATGAGCGAGGCATGCTTATCACGCTGCGCATGGCACTCCCGTCGTTAGTTTGGCAGTAACACTTGTAATTGGTGTTCGGCATGCAATCACGCCGCAATCGTGGTGTATATGAAGCTCACGAAATGGCAACGAGCACACCATCAGCATGGCATCTAAATCGTGCTGTCCATGATATTCATGTCACTACTTTCATGCCAGGACCTGTCATGTACGGTGGTCATACTGTCACGTCATTCATTACGCATATAAGTGCATGCCGAGTCAATGAAGCGATCGCACGAACCACCCATACGGCATATAAATCATGTTCGAAAACGCATGGAAAAAATTTTCATGTTACCACCTATCGTTACTGTTGGTCATATATAAAGACAGCTCACCCAGTACCCAATTCGATAGCATGTCGGGCAAATGAAATCACCGCGTGGGTACTATGAGCGTACCATAAAAGTCTTGTCATAAATGACATGCGATTTAAAATTTTCACTTATCGGTTATCATTTATGTTTCTCATATTGCCACGTCACGCCATACTGAGCTTGGTACCTGTCAGGCTGGCAAAACAACCGCGAGTGCTCAATGAACGTGGCTTGTAAGTCATGTTGTACATGACATGCATGTCCTCACTTTTATGTTATCGCCTGTCAATTATAAAATTCATACAGAAATGTCTCATAAATTTGGTATCGTCATTATCATTATCATCAACAGCAGCCTAACTATACATGTCCACTTAATTGAACAGCCGCGAGCCCCCCGTGACTACGTTATGCAAATGATTCTGTCTATAAAATAAGAATTATGATTTGAATGTTAGCAGCTGTTAGTTATGTTCGTCATACAATCATGTGATACCACTGCCATTTTGTTGTATACCACGTGATCGAAACAGTCTCAGAAGTGCCATTGTTAGTTTGACATTAACAGGTGTAATTGATGTTCGGCATGCACTCGTGCTGTACAAAACCAGTCATGGTGTATATGAGGCTCGCGAAATGGCCGCGAGCAAACCATGATCGTGGCACTCCATCAATGCCATATTAGCCCTTTCATGACATGCGTGTTATGATTTTTGTGGTGAGACAGACAGACAGACAGACAGACAGAGAGACAGACAGACAGACAGACAGACAGACAGACAGGACAGGCAGACAGACAGACAGACAGGCCGACAGAGCAGACAGACAGACAGACAGACAGACAGACAGACAGACAGATAGATAGATAGATAGATAGATAGATAGATAGATAGATAGATAGATAGATAGATAGATAGATAGATAGATAGATAGATAGATAGATAGATAGATAGATAGATAGATAGATAGATAGATAGATAGATAGATAGATAGATAGATAGATAGATAGATAGATAGATAGATAGATAGATAGATAGATAGATAGATAGATAGATAGATAGATAGATAGATAGATAGATAGATAGATAGATAGATAGATAGATAGATAGATAGATAGATAGATAGACAGGCGGCCGAAGCTCGCTAAGAAATGTTCGCATTTTAAGATTCCCTTACGAGACGTGATTCAAACCGGTGTACCGAAAATCTGAAGGCAAGCATGCACGTGGCCACTGGTATATCCACATAAGCTAACAGAGCAATACATTGTCTTGCATAAAGGTAATAAATGGAATTTTAAGCGTTGGCTTTTTTTGTCAGACACAGTAGTGCGAAATAACCAACAATATTGAAGAGGAAAGTATAAAGTATGTCATTGCTAAGAATTGTCACGTAATTATAAAAAAAATATAACTTGCCACTGGTTGAGACCAAGCTTTCGAATAACGCACCTGAGCTAACGTGCCGGTCAGCCCTCCCTCCAACCATAGGGTACATATGCGCATTTTAAACGTGACAGTAATGTTCAGTGCCTTGTACAGACTATTTTCTGGTGAAATAACCTTTGACTTTTATATGGCGTATACCATTGAGAGTTTACGAGCGCTCTGAAATGTGGCCGCGCATTTAGTTTGCAAAATTCTAGCGCTAGTTCTACCTTCAGTTGGTTATTTCAGTGCGTCAAACGGACTCGGAGCGCTTCCAACTGTTTGAATTCAAAGCGATAGCGTGGCGTGACTTGGTCTAAGTGACAGATCACGTGACACAAGCATTGCCGGAAGCTGAATGAGCGAGTGCACGTTTCAGATGGGCACATCACCGGACGCGTAATACTTCGTGCGCTTCTGTTGTACGCGGCGTTTTTTAGCGTGCCTATGGCAAGTTCAAATGCGCGTAGCCATAAATTCACCATGTCGAAAATGAGGCAAGTAGTTATGGCGGAGGAAAGGACAATACTGTTGTTACAGCTGCTCTCTGACGAATGCCTTTAAAATAGCAGCCCGGATGATGAGAACGATGATGGCCAAATTTATGATTTGAGCTCAGAAGGGTGCCATTGTGTTCAGACATGTCGGAGATGGTCACCTAGCACCATTTGTTCATGCAGCGCAGGAATGTTTAACCAGCTGCTTCCCGCACTGGATGCACGATGGTGCTAGATGCGCGCTGCTCATTGCTGCTCCGAGATCGCCTCCGCCATCTATGGTATTTGCATATTCAGCACAATTAAAAAAAACATTTGTAAACATTTGGAAACGCATCATTTTACTTGCTTCGAGTGTATTTTTCAATCTTCGCAGCATATCTCTACTATAGCCAGCGGCTAGTAAAGCTTCAAGGTTTTGGCGTTAGTAACCAAGAATGCATTCTTGGTCGTTTTAACTTGGTAACTACTAAACCACATACATTTCTTGATCTTTCGTAAACACCACCGTATATCTTGCAGTAAGCGTAACACTTAAGAAAAGTATAGACCAATCTTAATTTTTCGATTACTTTGAATTAAAAATTTTGTGATAAGTGATTGTACATACATTTATTTATTATTTATTTTCAAATACTGCAGCCCAATGCAAGGCTATTGCAGGAGTGGGGTACATACAGTAGGAAAAAATATAAGTAACAAGTTCTTCATCAAAACAAATCACAACAGTTATTGCCACATACTAAGCACAACCGGGTACATAAAAAAAAGTACAACAATGTCATTCCAGTGCCTCCAAAAAATCTGACATATTCATTTCACGAACCGAACCTGGTAGTTCGTTCCAGTAGACAATAAATAGAAGGGCAGACGATGATGTGTAAGGAATGTCCATTATTTTTCCACGTTCTCTGGCGCAGCAGTACACAGTGTGTTATTCCAAAGTGGAAGCG